GGTCTCTGCTCCGCGTTCCCGGTGAGCCTGCCTATGCGCGCTCCCGGTGAGCCTGCCTGTGCGCGCCCCCGTGCACTTTGGAGGCACCACTGTGAGCGCGCACGTAGTTAACTCTTTATGGCGCGGTTTGGCGAAACATGACGCGGCTTTTTGCGATGCATTATGAATGAGTTTACTAAGGGCACATTTGTTTGTGTTTGTAGTGAGTATGCAGTATTTACATGTGTTCAGAAAGTTTGAATCCAATAAATAAAAATGTAGATTGTATTAAGCAATGGACCTAGATCTTAATCAGGCACCAGAGACAGTGATTGATTACGTATATTAATTGACCATTCGTCATATATAGGGAACCAAATATGCCCTATAAAAAAGCTCGCACATACTATATTTTCTCTGTTTGGTCTGTAGACAGTAGGTGCTGAATGTCACACACTTCTGTTAAGTCTCACTGACCAGTTCATTGCACACAAGCCAACAAATATCCAGTTAACTTTTAACCTCACTTCCATGCCATTAATTTCTAACATTATTACACACACACAATGTCGTTATTAAAATACAATTAAATAGTGTTGTGACCATGGCCTTTGAGTACTTTGACCCACTGTCCTAACTGTTAACATGTGCTGGTGCAGGACGTGCGCATCCCGTGGACACGCTTCATCATACCAGTCACAAAAGGCTTGTGTTAGAAGTTAATGAAGCATCACTGTGCACTGTACTATAAACATATGTTGATGGACCATACCATTATGACCAGTGACAGGTGAAGGAGGAGAGAACAGCATAGATTATCTGGCTAATGTAACTTCAGACATTTTAAACACAATAATACATAGGAAGAATGTGCAGGCAATATATTTGAAGAAAGATGAACACTGAGGCCAAGCAGGATGCAGGGAGGAAGACCTCAAAAGTGATTAATGGAAGGATGGGAAGAAATCAGTGCTGCTGTGTCATGGGAGAAGGATGTAGACGATGGGATCAGATAGCAGCTGAATTATAACTAAAAAAGGAAAACTCAAAATAAGAATTCTTGACTGAAAAAGAAAATGTCAGACAGAAGATGGTATTATGACATTTACAAATATCAAAGTTGAAAGTGAGAATGGTTGTTATAAAGTATGAATACCTCGTCAACGCACCCTAAACATTCAGTGCAGAGACAGGAAATCCCATTAGTTCAATTTAGCGTTTTGAAGAACAAAACTTTGCAAATTTGTTGTTGTTGTTGAGATATAATATAATATTAGATGTAATACATATATATAATTATACATACATACATGATAATACATATTATTATTAACATTATACAATCTACAATCCATGTGGAAAAGCTAGAATATAAATATGTTTCATTCAGTTTGTCTATATAGTGCCTATATAAGATGATGCATTAGTGGTTCTTACACAGAATCAGGTCCTCAAATTGGGACAGCTGATTTACATGTATTTATTCTTTCACAATAAAAGGCATAGATAATGTGCTTAATTGCTAACAGGAAGTTTCAACTTTAAAAAAATTTGAATACTAGTATGGAGTTGTGTGTATAACGCTTTACCGTTCTTGTCAGAAGATATGAAGCATGAAATTTAAGGAATAGCTCAGTGATGAAGGGGCAAAAATAACTTTACAGTATGTTACAGTGATGTTGTGGTTAGTCAGTGTTCACTGTACAGCACACACCCTGACAGAGGAGGGCCCCGCTTCCCATAAGGACATTACTCACCGCTGCTGTGTAAGGGAGGATTGGGCAGATAAGATGACATCATGGTTAAGTCAAAAAGCCATTATCATTGTGTAGATAAAACATGCGAAGGAACATGGAGAGAAACTGTTAAGTTAAAAGAGCATTACATCACACAGAAAATTATTTACCATTTGATAGATATTTTTAATACTACAATACATATGAGAAAATAGAGCCAGAAGTTCACCACAATACAGTATATAGGCCTACTGTAAACAAGGCATTTGCAGCAAAGGCAATCTGAATACTTATTCGAAAATGAACCACGTTTGTAAATCCAGCCTTTTAATGAAAAAGTTATAATAGTTTGTAAAGTAGAGAGTTAAGAGTTGTAAAGAGTTTTAAGACTTAGAAATGATTTTAAAAAGTGATAAGTCATAGTTAAAGTAGAAGATGGAGTATTGTAATTTCAACATTGTTACTACTCACTGCAATATAAAAAGCTTTTGAATTAAATTTGTTCATGAATAAATATAAAAAATAAATAATAATTATAACTCCACTGTTCCACATTCCTCAAAACTACATTTTACATTACATTATATTCAAATTATGTACTGTAGAAATAACAGAAGAAATATTGTGCACTCTTATAATACAGTTCAACTGAGGCAGAAGTGCAAAACCACAACAGGAAACCAAGTTCACCAGATAACCCTCCACTTCCCCTATCTGCACTTCTATCACCACAGACGAGTTTCACTGAGCACTGATTGTTTAGAAGTACAAAATCTACCAGTGTCCTTTTTATCTACTCCACTCTGATAAAAGCATGTGTTTGTATTTGGATTTGAATCACACGTTCTTACAGTTTATCATAATGTCGTGTCTACGACTTCGAGAGGCTGTCAAAGGGCTGATAATGATGCTTACTGTAAGAACTTGTCCAAGAACAAAATAATGAAGATTGCAGTAAGTTACATTGTGTGTATCACAAAGAGGACAGAAGGGCTCTTAAACTTGGTGATCTAATCAGGGAAACAAACTACTGATAGGTTAATGACAGGGAAGTTTAAAATGGTACAGAATTAAAATATATCATTTTTTAAGGACTGCAAACCTTTTCTCAAGTGCAACATTTTCCAAAAGAGTACGCAACCAAAAGTGCAGAGTAAGTGTGTATACCAACAAAGTCACACAGTAATTCCTGCAAAAAAAGTAGTAATATTTTATAATATTGACTTCTTATTTAGCCTTAAAGGTGCATTGTGTAATTTTTCTGATGGAGGGTCTGCTAGATGCCTTGGAGTTCCAGCTGTTACTGCGTTGTCTGAAACCACAGTATGGTGTTAAACCTTTCTATCTCCATGGAGACCAAACCAGACCAAGTTACAGGTTAGATCCATGGAGAGGCTACACCGCTTATAGTCAGAATGGCTGTTTTTCATGGTATTTTTAAGTAAGTAAGTAAGTAAGTAAGTTTATTTATATTGCTCTTTTCACAGACATATGTCATAAAGACACTTTAAAGAGCATTAATAATTCAGTTATTCATTAATTTCTGAGCCATAAAACCAACTGTAATTGAAAAAAAATTAAGGTAAAGCTGTTTAAAGTCATACTGTGGAACATTTTCGAGCAATGATGACATATCCATAGAAATAAGCAGGTATCAGACTGTAAACAAAAAAGTTACATAATGCACCTTTAACAATGAAAAAGACTAGTTTATCGAGTTTATGTGTTAAGAATGATTCAGGTTCAGCAATTAAAGTGTCATTACTATAATTACTAACAGTGTTGGGAGTAATGTATTATAAAAGT